CACAACTTGAACAATCCATTTGCTCCAGTTCTCTCCTGGAACCAGCGTCTCTGTTGCTCATTACTAGGCTGTAGATCCTCAAATCATCTCTAAATTGGTGCTGATACTGCACATCCTTCTGGATGGTGGCTACTTTTGCTCACCACGGTCCCAATGTGTTGTAAAGTAGCCACCACTGCAAGCTCGCTCCCATGATAGACTACAATCTTGCATTTTGTTTACTAATTTGTATTAAGATAGTAGTCCATCATGGGAGTAAGCTTGGAGTGGTGGCTACTTTACAACACACACAGAGACCATGGGGAACAAAGTAGCCATCCTCCAGAAGGAAGAACAGTATCAACATGAATTCAGAAAAATATTTTGGGATCTACAGTTGAGTGATGCCCAAATGAGCTAGATTTTTGTTAATAGTTAAGGTACTCAAATGCATTTTTAAGATTTAACTTCTGAGTTTAGGGTCGCTTTAATTTGTTAGGTCATCATAGCTGGACAAACCTGTACAGCTATGGAGCTACAAGTTATAACATAGCCATAACCTGTCTCATTCTCCTCTGAACCTACTTCCAACAAGGACAACTACCTTTTTAATAGTGGCAGCATTTGATCCATTTCTCACAGCTGTCTCTAAACCCTCTGCTTTATAATAACTCTTATCATTCCCCACCATTTAGGGTCAGGGCTGCATCCCTCCCCTCCCTCCTTTCCTTCCTTCCTCGCTTCTCTTACCTGCACACATGGCCTCTCTGCCGCCGGACCGGCCAGAAGTGACATCACTTCCGGCCAGTCCAACATCAGACGAGCAGCGTCGCTGATAGGGCCCTAGCTTGTCTCAAAGCCGCTGGAGCGACAATGCTGGGGCCCTGCGCTGCTAGGGCCAGGCCTCCACCTCCTCGCCCTACACCGCCGGCCGATAGTCATGTAAGGGACCCGGACGGGCCCCCTTGGCTGCCCAGCCCCTTACATGAGTATCGGCCGTACCCCCCTGATGGCTGCCCTACATACAAGTGCTGTTCAGCAATATGTAAAGTCTGCAAAATAACTGCAGTGCTGAAGCTGTAAAAAGAGTTGTAATTATAGTGGCCATGCTGTAACTAGGTCATCAGAGGATCCCCTGATAAAATAAACATTTCAGTGGCACCCCGACATTTTAAAATTCTGGTTTATAGCCTTGTCTGGTTATTGTTTATACTTAACGTAGCCTCCATGTTACAGCACAGCCAGGCTTTATTTTCATAGGTTTTTTTGTTTGCTTTAAACCAGGCCTAATACTGTATGCATTACCAGTATTTTCCCCAGATGTGTGGTAAAGTGGTTTTTTGTTTTTAGTGAGCTTTGCTTAGCTGTGCAGATTATTACTGAATTATCTTCCTAGGAAACCACATTTTTTCATAGCTACAGTTGATACACCTGCTGTATTGCAGCCTTTAACCTCCTATTTTCTAAATCTACAACAGCAGAGGCCAAAAGATACCTTCTGTATGGTTGAGGAAGCTAGAAGTCTATTATAAAAACCTACAGTTTTACGATCTATGTGTATTACCTTAGTCTGTGAGCCAAGTGCAGTAAGTTGTAGGAACCAGCCAGAATAATTTTACATTGTTCTATCATTACTTCTTATTGGTCCTTATTAAATGAACCCAAGTCTTAAAGCATTGGAGCCAAATCTCTGTCCATTTTTCCTCCTCAGTTCTCTTTTTTTTTTTTTTAGTCTGATGAACAGATGTCTCTGAAAAGGTTCTATTTCACTACAAAAAGTGTTGTTCTGCACTAAACCCTTTATCTTATCTCTTAATTTTCTTGTTTGCTATTTCAGAAAGCCAGTAAAAGGAAAACTACTGATGGAAAAAAAATAATTCTGGGTTTAACCAATCAACTTTGCATAAAACAAATTCTTAATGGTCCCCATAACTGGGGGTGTGGCAGGGATGTGTCCATTGCCTAAATACATTGGTCTAGAAGGTGTCCCTCTTTCTGATCTCAGAAGGTTAGGAGGTATTTTGTTGTAACTACTACACCTACTTTTTACACAAATATTTGTTTTGACATTAAAGTGTGCAAAATCGCATTGTAGGTCGTAAATATGGTGTAAATTGGCCTAGTTTAAACAGTTATATAATTTTAGTAACTTTTTTTAACTCTTTGTATCATCTTGAATTTGTCAAATGTCCAATGGACAAAATTAGTGGTTTATCAAGGCAAGTTGTGGCCTGAAAGAGGGACTTGTATATCACCTGCCTGTCAAATGGGCCTCCTTTCTCAAACCACCTGCTTTATGCTTAAGGTGAATGTTGTAGTAAAATACAAGGTCTGCTTATATGGCAGCCCCCTACCGCCCTGCATGAAAAGTACATGCCTTACTTGTCTGTTTCTTCCGCTTTCTATCGCTGACATCACTGGGCTTCACAGCAGGATCTTGAGAAAGCTCAGAATCCCAATTGCTCCAGCAATGTGCAGTAGTGCTTTTTTGCAGAAATCGAAATCCTCAGCTTTTCCAGGATCCAGTGAGAAGACCTAGTTATGTCATCCTACATTGCCAGAATCCAAGAGTAATGAATGCACGAGCCTTGTATTTTCAGTGTAAGGCCCCCTTTAAGATTATATTGGCTGTTATTTCTTTGGTAGCATGGCCATTCATGTCAGCCTTCCAGCTATTGGAATAGCAACCTAATGTACCAGGCTGGTAATCCAAATCATTTATTTCTAAGAGAGACACACATACACAAACAAACTGCTCTTGTATCATTGCGGTAGTATATTACTTTGTGTGTCCCTATTTTCATCACAAATAATAAATAAGACAAGGTCAAGGATAGTTTAAAAAACCAAACAAACAACAAAATAGAAAAAACAGGTGTGGAATTTATTAATAAATATGAACATTATACCATATTTTAATATACCATGATCCAAAACCTTATTTGTATTGTATTTGTTATGCACAGTTACATTGCATTTCTTTCTGAAAAAAAAGTTGCACAAAATATTGTGAAACATTTAATAAATGTATTCTTTTTGTCTGTCAGTTCTGTAAGTATGTAAGCTTTACCACACAAGTTGTGCACTGAATTCAAGAGCAGCCAGTTCTGGTATGAAATTGCTGATGATTTTTTCCAGTGTGGTGTAATAGTAAAAACATTTCATTTATTTATTGGGTCTACTATTTCTTTTTCTAATGAGGAGCCGAAAATAAGATTCAGTTTATATTTTGCATACATTTAAATATGTCAAAGCAGAATATTAGCTCAATAAATTCAAAATATTTAAACCTTACAATTATTAGTTTTAAGGGAAGATTTAAAGATCATGCGTTTACCCAGATTTATTAAATGTTGGAGCTACAGGTACCTGCTGTTTATAAGCCAATATATTTTCTTCTTGTTCCAGAATAGGTAATCTGAAAAGTTTTTTAGTTGAGTGACCCTCTACTAAAGAAACCAATTAAAATACATTTTAGCTTATTTCCCCCTTCAAGAAACTGCCCTCTCAGTGCTTGAATGCATCTGTGCACTTTAAATAGATCATAAAACTCCTCTGACAGATGTTTTTGCTTTCGATGTAGGTATATATAAAAGTTGAGTTTTTAAAGAACTGCATACCAAAATCATGTATTCCAATTCAGCAAAGAATACCAAGTTTGGTTTATTTATTTTTTTGTTTGCACATCACATGATACAGGGAGTTAATTTGGCAACCAATGGGCTTTACAGCTACCTTCAGGTGATTGGACACTGGCAAATCAAAGCCATAAGGACAGGACTGTATAACCCCTTCCATTCCCAGCCTGCCTCAGTTTTTTGCTAGTGTCCTTAGGTGATGGACGCCTTTCTGTTTGCTCTGAAGAAGCACATCTTTTTTTTTTTGCACATTTTTCTACCATTTAAGACTCTGCTAGCAGGTTTTCCTAAGCTGCTCTTAGCCACTGCAGACCCTCATAGGGTAAATATTCCCACTGAGCGGGGTGGGTGAAGATTAGATGGCAGGTCTATTTTAGCGGATACTTCTATTTTCCGGCAGTTAGAACTCTTTTCTGTAGCCCTACACGATTTAGCTAATGCGCTGGTAGATACTGTCTGCCAAAATTCCAGGATGAGTTTCCCTTCAGTTCACATGAGATGGATCTCTTGGCCTAAATGCTGGTCCACAGGACTGGGAAATGCCTACTCTGGAATCTTTGGATGCGTTCATAAAGGACGTCACAGGGGGCAACACTATCTTGTTGCCTCAGAAGATGAAGAGAAACACTAAGTAGAGAATTTCCCTCCTCCCTCTTTTAAGAAAAAGGTTCCTTTGATCCATCTCAGGCCACAGGTACCAAGTCCTAGCACACAGTTTCATTACGCCCTGTGCTGGTGGCACCAAAAAACCCTCCAAATCCGAAAACGGGCCCTCTTCAAAATGTTCTCGATGCTTGGGTTCAGAGTGTCCTTTCCAGGGGATACAAAGCTCTTCTCTCAGTGGTCATGACCTCAGTTCCAGAGGCAGAAAGATTCCAGGGTTTTTATTCCAACCGGTTTACTATACCTATGCCAAAAGGTGGGGTTTGCCAAAAGCTCCATATGAGATCTACTCAGTCGTTGCTTCCTTGTCATTTTCCTTGTCTCCATTACCTTTTCCAGGAAAGTTTTAGCGCTAGTAGTACTATCATGCAAAGAACCGTTCCTTGTTTTTCAGAAGGATAAGGTTGTTCTTAGGCCTAGGAATTTTCTGCCTAAGGTGGTGTCCTTTTATTTTCATCAGAATGTGTGTACACATTGTAATCCTGACCGTGTAGTTTTTTTTAAATGGGTGCCACCCACTTTTGGCTCGCGAAACCACGGCTTTATACTATTTTCCAATTTTTGGGGGGAAATGCTGAGAGAGGGTGGTAGTGTGTTCATAATATTTAAAAATAATGTCTGAATGGCTTTGTAAAGCGTTTAAATGTGAAAGTATTAAACATTTTGGTAAAATATTCATCATGAAGGAAATGTGAGTAAACCTTTCTCTGTGACTTTCAGTTGGTGACAAAGTGCCTGCTGATATCCGCATCATCGACATCAGATCTACAACATTGCGCGTGGACCAGTCGATTTTGACCGGTGAGCTCTTAAATCTATTGTATGGAAATCCTGCATGTTTAACAAAAATATCTGTAGCGCTACCTCTGTAGGTGCCGCTGGTTGCCCGGTTCACTTCTAGTCTGTTTAGGGGATGATCTTCAGCTGCCCACCCAATAGCACTAACCGCCCTTCTCCTGGTGCCCATAAACTGATGTCCACTCCAGTAGTAAAATGCTAAGTAAACGATTTATTGAACATCTTCACTGGGGAGAGAGGGTATGGCGTTCTAGGTGTCCAGGGTGGCCAACAGAAGCTCCAGACTCACCAGACCTTGTAGATGTATCAGTGTAGATCCACCTGGGAGACAGCAGACAGCCACTGATATTACAGACAGGATGGATGCAGATCCTCAATCAGGAAAGACACCGACCATGCTCCTGAAGTCCTCTTAGTTCCAGGGTACTTCAAGAGCCTGCACTGGTCCCGGTTCTCTTCCTCTTTCAGCATCCCAGGCCTCCTCCATGTTGGAGGCCTCAGGGAAACCTTTTCCCTCACACCAGCCCATCCCCACCCCAAGGCCTTGGCCTAGCCTGGGGGGCAGGCTCAACAGGACCCAGCCCTAACCCATGGCTGGTCCCGGCTTGTCCGACCACATGGCAGAACCCACCAATATATTTACTCTATCCCAGCAATTGCACCACTGGCTGAGAGAGGCCCAGTGATTGGCTGCTGTACTGCACATACATTACAGTACCTCTCATTGACTGTCCCACACATGACAGAGTCGCACTCCGCCCAGGGGGGTACAGGCAATATTGGACACCTGGGATTAACCATATAATTGCCACTACAAATCCAGCCACATCACAGAAGGTGATGGGGGCGACATGTCTTTAATTGGGCAGCATGGTGGCTTTTTGTTTAGCATTGATAATGTACAGTTCTCATTTCCTTTGAATAATTACATGAATGTGGTCCATGTTCTCTCCCACTATTCAAAAACCACTGTGATAAATTCTGATTTATGTCCAAATCAGCCCTTGGGTTTATGAATTTGTGTCTGTTTTAGGGTTACTACTGTTTCTGGGCAGGGAATGCCATGAATTGTTCTATGTTCTCTATGCAAGAGTCATGTTGTATAGCAGCACAACATAAATACGCAAACTAAGTGTATTTACAAAATGTGATGAAAGGAATATACAGAAATATTAATAAAACATGATTATTTTTCTTCCGATAGGAGAGTCTGTTTCCGTGATTAAACACACAGACCCAATTCCAGACCCTAGAGCTGTTAACCAGGACAAGAAGAATATGTTATTTTCTGTAAGTATTGTCAGCTGTATTACTTTGTTTTGATGCGAGTCTTCTTGCAAAATTATACAACAGCCAAAACAAACTTACATCAATAAAGTATTTGGACACATTTTACCAAGACCCTCAGTAATAAACCTGTTATATTATGAGGTGCTTATGGTTTAATTATAAGGGTTTTTCATTATAAAACCTGAGCATTGCATCTCTTGAAGATGTCAGTGGGCTGACTATCATGCCAGTCCTTTTAGCTTCAAGAATTTGAGTCACTAACTTTTAACAAGTATGCAAGTCAGGCTTTATTTACAGCACAGATCTCAGAGTACCGGCCCGTGAACTGGTACAATGTTGCCCGCAGCTGGCTGACAAGTCAGGCACGCTGGAGCTGACTTGTGGCAACAGCTACCTGTTCTGCATCTCTGTCAGATGCAAACTGCATAGCTGCTCTAGCAGGTGCCGGCACTCAGTTACTTTTCGGCCGGCGCTCTTACAGGCTTGATCGCTGGCCCAAAGGATGGATTATTAAGGTCAAAGGTGCAGAACTTACTAATCAACCACTGACGCACTATGGAATGTGCACATGATGGGACTCTTTTATTTTATGAGGGGGGGGGGGGGGTGTATTATTTTGCATTTGTGTGTATATTGGGCCCCATTCACACCTGTAAGTTTAGGCGCGACTTGGGATTCCTGCATCAGACAGAATTTCACACAAACAAATTTGCATGCACACAAACACAAATTCGCACATGCATAGAAATATGCACACATATATGAGTACAATTATGAACACAAAGAAATATTGGGATTCCTGCATCAGACAGAAATTTGCACAGAAATATATGCACACAAATAATTACCCCCACACACAATAAATCGCCCACACCCAGAAATACACACACTACAATAAACGATACAATAAAGGCTGGCATACCGCATGTAATTGTATGTGATATGATTACATGTGGTTAGAAATAAGTCACTCTTGTGGGACTCATTGATCGTGCATCCAGGGAGAGTGATTGACTCCTAACCGCATGTAATTGTATCACATATACAAATACATGCAGTGTGCTTGTGTTTACATACAGCAGCTGTCACCCGAACTTGAACGGGTGACAGCTGCTGCTGGTAAACGGGGAGTTTACTGTATTAGCCTCTTGTAAAACTGGGAAAGCGAGGGACAGCATTGTGTGCCAATCAGATCTAACTACATCACACAGTACACCAGAAGCTGGCTGATAGGAGTGTGCAGGGTTGTAGTCATCAGTGTGTTACTGCTCCTTCATTATCCAGTCATGGACTGGGGCAATCCTTGACCAAGCTGTTTCGCTTTAAACACAGTAGAGAAAAATGAAGTCCGATCAGGCATGTCGGAGAATCAGAAAATTAACACAATTAGACTTTTTGACATGTAATCTGCTTCACACTTATATATTTCAGTAATGAATTTAGCTGTTTGACTTCACTTTAGATAATTGTATTATTTTTATGGGTATTGCTTACTTTGACTAACTATTTGAATGTGTGTTTTAGGGAACGAACATTGCTGCTGGTAAGGCTGTTGGAATTGTAATTGCAACTGGCGTTTACACAGAGATTGGAAAGATCCGGAATCAGATGGTTGCAACAGAACCAGAGAAAACCCCTTTGCAGCAGAAACTGGATGAATTTGGACAGCAGTTATCTAAAGTAATCTCTTTGGTCTGTGTGGCTGTTTGGGTAATCAATATCGGGCACTTTAATGACCCTGTGCATGGAGGATCTTGGTTCCGTGGAGCTATTTACTACTTTAAAATTGCTGTGGCTCTGGCTGTAGCTGCTATCCCAGAAGGCCTCCCAGCTGTGATCACCACTTGTTTGGCCCTCGGTACACGTCGGATGGCTAAAAAGAATGCAATTGTGAGAAGCCTTCCATCAGTGGAAACTCTTGGTTGTACGTCTGTCATCTGCTCTGACAAAACTGGCACCTTGACTACCAATCAGATGTCTGTATCTCGGGTAAGTCTATCCTCTTTGAGCTGTATCACTAGCAATTCCACTTTTGTTGGTCGAAGTGTACTGCGGTCCAAATTGAAAAGTCCTAAAGGTTCAGGCTACCTGCTCAATATTTCAGTCATTGCTGTAGTCCACCAGTCCACTCCCTTGTGTCTGTAATCTGATGATTTGAGAACCACTGCTTAAAACACAAAAGAGTAACTCTTGAATCTCGCCTATCATAGAAACTAGGGATGTCCCGATGCCACTTTTTCAGGCCCAAGTACAAGTACTTCCCCTCATGTACTTGCCGATACCAATTACAGATACTTTTTCTTAAAGGGACAGGTGACTTTAAATGATCCATAGTACAACTACATGTTATGTACTATGGATCATGATTTAACGTATTCATGTTAGCAGGGGAGAATTGTAAATCTATTGTTCAGTGCATTCTATATGTAGTATATAGTACATGTACCTATAGAGTGCCTGCAACAATAGATTTACAATTATCCTCTGCTAACATGAATGGATTAAATGGTCCCTAGTACAGAGCTACATACAGATCATTTAATCTATTCATGTTAGCAGAGTATAATTGTAATGTATTGTCTGCACTGTATTAGCAGTGTGTACTCTATATGTAGTACAGATAGAGTATATACTGCTAATACAGTACTACATATAGAGTACACTACAGCGATAGAGTTTTTCAATTATCCCCTATTCCCCTGCTAACATGATTAGGTTAAATCATGATCCATAGTACAACTACATGTATGTAGTATACTATAGATCATGATTTAACCTAACACTCTATATGAAGAAGTAAATGTACACTTGCAATCAGAATATAAATACAATACTGGAAAAGTGGCAAAAACTACACCACTTGCCATCACGGCAGCACAGGTCCTTACTTTCTGGTGCCTGTTCAATGGAGCCTGCCTTATCCGCAGCTAGACCTCACTCTGTTCTCTCCTCCATCCCACCTGTATCTCCGCCATCCTGTATAATCTCCTTCTCATCAGATCCCTCTCTCCCCAGACACTGAAATGTCTCCCCCCTCATTATATAATTTCCGATTCTTCTAATATATCTATTCTGCCCCTCCATTATCTCCCTCTCATACACAGCCGTCCTCTCCCACCATCCCCTAGGTTACCTTCCATACACTAGAGGCCAATCTGAACTTAACTAAGGCTCTGGCAGGTAACGGCCATTTTGGGTAGGACAGAATGTACTCCAAGTAAATGGAGATTTCCCAGACACTAGAGAACAAACTTTCCTGTAGGGGCTCTTGCTGGCGGTGGCCATTTTGGGTAGGACAGACTGCACTGTAAGTAAATGGAAGCGATTTGTTGGACACTAGAGTACAAACTGTCCTGGACTGAGTCTCCAGCCGGCGGTGGCCATTTTGGCTTGGACAAAGACACGGCTGTATAGAGATGTGATTTTTTTTCTCTTCATGCGAGGACGACGTCGGCGGTGCTGAGAGGCTGAACGGAGGAGCGTCGCGTCACTGCTGTGGGCGGAGCTACAGGAGGAGTCCTCTGGGCAGTCGCCAGCTAACTACATTAGACCCCACCTGGAGCTCCGCCCACAGCAGTGATGCGACGCTCCTCCAGCCTGCCCAGAGGACCCCAGCCACCACGGAAGGTAAAAAAAAAACAACAAAAAAAACGCAAGCTTCGGCGCTGGGCATCGGGGCATTTTGATAAGTACAAGTACTTGTCAAAATGCCCTGTATCGGGCCCGATTCCGATGCTAGCATCGGTATCGGGACATCCCTAATAGAAACTGAATTTTGGAGCGCTGCCCCCATTCCACTGTGTGCCATATTGTGGTAGCCGGTAGCACCCTCTAACACGCACAATGTGCATTGAAGGGTAAGTGCACTTTCCCACTCAAATCTGGCCCCCTCTCCCCCCCTCTGTTATACTTTTGGTGAATAGTCCTTCCTCTCCGCTGGTACAGGTGTACTATCCATACCCCGTGCTACTGCCAAGCGCAGCCATGTGGTATGGATTTTAAATTGTGTTCACAAATTACGAGCAGCCATGCCCAATGAAAAGCGCTTCTTAGCACAGTTTAATGCGGTTTTGGTTAAAATTACCAGTAGATTAAGCCCCCGCTTTAGTCCTTGGACAAGTAGTTTTTTCAGAAATTTCCACACCCCTGCTGTCTATTTCATGCTTTCCAACTCCATGTTTCTTTTAACTTCATTTTCTGGCACATTCTAAAAAAAATGACAGCCAAGATCTAGCATATTATTTATTGTTGCATGTGCTACTAAATGAGGTTATACCTAAAGAGTTAAAAAAAAAAAAAAAATCCACCTCTCCCGTGGTCTTTTGGAAATTCTGAAATGCAAGTATGGACATTGGATACAGAAAAAAAAAAACCTATCTCTGAGATTGTTGTACTATGAGCATTTCAACGGCACGCACCAAACTTAAGATGGAGCCAGCTAATATTCTTCATGGCCGGACCCAGCATTGAAAGTGTAAATGTTGTGTTCTATACTACTGAGTTCTTATATTTCATAATTTTATAAGAAAGGACCTGAATGGATGAAATATGTTTTTGTTTGATTTTCTTTTTAAATTAAAGTAAATTGAAAGGTATTTTTGATAATCATACCATGCATAATTACATGGTTTGCAAGCTGGAGAAATACCTTGCATCCTTAGAATCCTTAAGTCCCATTTACACTGCCCAATGCACATGTGTGAGTGGGCCCTTAATTACAGTAGCAGCAGGTGAAAAAATGCTTACAAAAATATGCACTGAGTGTTTTGATCCAGCCCTAAACACGGGGCCCAAAAACTTTCATTAAATATCTTACACAGTAGTCACAAAGGATACAAATCTACTTTTGTATGCACAGAATGTCTTTGCAAACCCAGGTATTACCTTTTTAAAAGAAGCAGTGATATCATCAATGTGCTGCACATAGCCTATACAGAGAGCAGAGCTGTTGGAGAGTCCCAACAAGCCTCTCCCACAACAGGCTCCCTGCAAAAATAACTACAAGAGAGGACGGATACAAGACCAGTAACCTGATAGAAGGGGAGAGAGCAGCAGTGACTGGTCTTTATTACAGGAAGTTCCTGCACAAAGGAAAGTTTCATGCTGGATTAGTGCACAGTTCTGGAAGAAAAACACAAATCACACCAAGATTGGTGCAAACCTTCAGACTGTTTGCGTCCTGGGCCGCTCATGTATCCCTAACCACAGGTATTTGCTCAGAGTATGAATACATGTGGACAACTGCAGAGCCTCTCAGCCTGTCATTGATTTGTACAGGTTGATCGGCCACAGCTAATCAGTATCACCTGGCCATACTTGTCGCAGAAATACGCTGATTTGGGTGCTATATGGCCATGAATAACTGTATAACTGAGCCTTAAGTCCCCATTTACACCTGAGCACTCTGGGTACGTGCGTCAAACACTCAAAGAAAGTGTTTTGACACGTGTTTGAGAAACGTGCTTGCTGTGCTGTTACCGTTGATAGCACCCCAAATGCGGTTGGGCAAACGCGTGCATCTCCTCTGTGTTTACTACATGCACTACTCTCCGCGTTTGTGCATTCTGGACCTCATTGAAATCAACGGGGATGCGTGGCAAACGCGGAAAACAAACGTGTGCGAACAAGACCCGCATTCCTGCTACCCGTAGGTGTGAATGGGGCCTTAAGGCATATTCAATCAAGACAAAAATAACCCCTTATAAAGCATGAATCGTTTTTCTCCAGTTAGGCATTCTGATATGATTCTGTATAAACCTTCTATTAAGAATTAGTTGTGATAAGTAGCCATTTCTATTTGATGTACTTGACCTTTTAATTAGGAACATTTAAAAATCCTCAATCACTGTTTTCCAGGAAAGATATAGCAGTTTACCAGATGATACAAACAAAATCTGGAAGCCATTACCTTAACAGAGAGCAACTTCAAACTAAAACATTTGTACGACACCTGCCTTAGGCCTCATTCACACTGCCACGCGTATACGTGCGTACTGTACCATATGCAAATAAATGGCTCCATACACATAGCCTTGCATGGAGCTGTATATTTGCGTAGCGTATATATGCGCAAAAACAGAATGGAACAGATGCGTCCAGGCAGCGTATTTCTGTGTATTTTACGCGCATACGCATGTTTGCGCGTTTCTGTATGTGCGTACAGTTTATTAAATTTCCATTAGGAATGATGCATTCTGGGAATGCAAATGCACGCATATACGCACAAACGCTTGTATATACGCGCATAGACGCTCGTATATACGCCTATATACGCAATATACTGGCAAATACTATTTATAGACAGTACAGTAGTAGCTCTTTCCACCCTCCAGCAAACGTGCTCTTAGTTGTGAAAACAAACAGCTTTCAGATAGTATCTTTTTTTTTCTGTTAAATTCCTACATTGAAGATTGATCTTTTCAGGCAACGTGGCCAACTGCCATTTACAGCATTTCAGCAAATATAATTTTTTCATCACTCAGAATAGCTTGTTCAGGACTTTCCCTTTTAAAGAAATTCTTTTTTTTTTTTTTCTTTTTTTCCAAAAATATTGATAAACATGAAACCTGTTTGGAACATGAATGAAAAGCAAGCATCCCCCAGTGCTTGCACATACCTTGCAAGATGTTCCTAAGCACCTCCGAAGGCTCCAAACATGGGGTTTTGGCTAACTGATTCACCCTCCTCCTTCTCAGGCCTCACTGTTGGTCTCTAAAGATGATAGTTGGGCTCAATAACTAGTTGTAATGCAGAGGAAAAGGCAAACCAGCTCTAGACTTTCTTTACTTGAATCAGTTTCTACATATTAAAGAACTTTAGATTTGAAGGGGTTACTACTGCATAGTAATATATTGTAAGGTATGTGCAGGTACCTGGGAATGCCTGTTTTCGGCTTGCCTGTACCGGTTGTATTCATAAAGTGTTTGTTTGTTTTTTGTAGTGGAATATTCTGTAAAACTACAGAAATGTCTACATTATTTAATAGAAGC